TTTATTAAACGCTTTAAAATAAAATGTACATAAATTAAGAACAAAAAGTAGCGCGAAAACACGCTATGGATTTTTATAATAGTTATTTATGGTTCAAACTTGTGTGTAATCAGTGGCAGCTCGTGGTCAGTCAAAGTAAGGAGGCTAATAAAGTGCAAGTGTTGTACATTTTTTTAAGACGCTTTCGCCATTAAAAAACTAGTCTTAAATGTTTGTGTCGCCAAAAAAACAATTAATATAACTTACAAATACAGGTAATATAAAATTATTAGTAATATATAATATATATAGGTAAACCTACGAAGAAAACAAGCCATTCTACAATCTCCCCCACATTTTAATTTCTTTCAATTTTTCCATGTTAACCAAAACAAAACATCACACAATTATTTTGTCAAAATTTAAATTAACAAAACAACACACTCATAAAAATTGTCAAATTGCATCCTCACTATAGTGTTCTAAAGATACGTATGTAGCTAAAAAGCTGGATTATTATATATACGATAACAAATATATTAAGACAGAGAGATTTATCATTAAATAAGAAGTTTTTAAACAACGCTTTTAAGCTCTTTAATGCCTAATTTATGAATTTATCTAATATTATTTCTACTAACATAGCGAGTTTAAAATAAGCGATTAGACGGTGACTTTCCTGGATATTTTCGTCGTAAACAGTCTGTGGTCTGTGGCTAGCCTACACGGTACACTGTATAGCTTATTGCAGCCCACGTCGTGTCCTGTCGGTCGCAGTCGTGAGAACTTAAAGAATGGATTTTCAATAGCAACGGAATCTTCGGACGCTGTGACGTAAATCACTATATAAAATCCAATTACAAAGCTCGCAGTTCAGTATTTTTATTTATTACGAAAATATATCATTGTAATAATAATTATGATTGGAAATAAATTACAATTTCACTAATCAATCAATAAATAGCTATTTAGTTAAAATGTAATACATTAATAAAATAAGTAAAAGTATTAACATTTTTGAGGAGGTAAAGCCTCCCTTACCTCTCCTGACGAGCCGCCACTGTTGTGTCACATGTATCAAAAGCGCATACAAATATTCAACTTCTTTTAAGTTTGTACTAGGATTCCTAGTTTAGAAACGTGCACTGATTTTCTTCCTTGTGAATTTAAAACTTTTTTATGAAGATATTGAAAGAAATTCATTAAAGTTGTTGTCATATATTTACGAGTGTGTTATTGCTACTTACAACTAGCAAAACACTCTTGCGGGTGGTTATTCCGCCGCGACTTCTTTACCTATGTAAACTGAGTATAAAACCTTGCAACCTCAATTTTAAACGGAAGAAATTTAATATTTAAAATTAAAAGATGATTTTTTATAATTGTCACCTGTCATCTGTCAACTTGACACCTGTTAAAGTGTTGCTTGTTATTTTGTTGGGTCCCCCTGTACATGATTTGCAAAAAAATGTAATGGACTTCATCGGTAATTATTTCAGGATACCCTTTAAATATATAGTGTTTGATATTTCGATGCATTTTTGGAGGCGAGGTGAATATTTTGCACTGAATAAGTAATCTAGAACCTATTTAACCAAACTTTTCTTAGTAGGTATGAAGTCGGTTTTTAAAATATTGGAGATCTTTACATAATGTGTATTATTAATTAGTAGGTATTTAATGTATTAAGAATAAAATAAATGTAAAATAAACAATAATAATGACATTTTTCCAGAACAAATTGGTATGAAAATAAACTCAACCAAGGGATTTAAAAAATGTTGTCACATGTCCCGTCTCAAGTTGCACATACAAAAAATTTATATTTTAAAGAGCCTGGAGTTAATAAGGGGCACCATTTAAAAGCTGAGCAATAAGTTTTACAAGGATTTGACGATAATCCTACATAAGTATAGTATCAGAACAGTAGCTACGAACTTTAATTTGACATGGAAAATTTGGTCATCATTTTTTGCCAGAACATCTAAATGGCGTTTCTTAAGAATGATTTGTCAAATATACTGGACGTAGTCCCAATTTTTGAAGCTGATTAACCCATTATCTTTTGCCTTACTATTAGGGATACTTTTTCTGAGAGCTTTGGGCTACCACTTTTGGGCTCATGCTATAGAACTTGTTTATACTGAGAATATACAAACACCAGACCATTTAATCCACAAAATCATTGAAGCCTTTGTCTAAATCATCGTTTCTTAACCTCGGGTCGCGACCCAAATTTGGGTCGCGGGCCATATCGAGATGGGTCGCGGGACTTGCGGGACTTTTTAAAAAAGCGCGCCGTAATCACTGCATCCTCAATTTAAATTAAGAAAATGTAGAAAAATGATAATTTTATTTTTTATCGGGTCGCGAGCTTCTAATATTTTTGAATTATGTGTCGCCAGCCAAAAAGGTTAAGAACCGCTGGTCTAAATGAAAGAAGTAATTGTTATTGCATTGAAAAGAATAAATTGAGCAAAATCAGACGTAAGGCACGCGCATGTATCAGTAATCATGGTTTTAATTTTGAACACGAATGATAATAACAAAAATATTTGTAGTGTAAATCGTATTTAATTTGTTTTCAAATAAAACTGTTTTTACGTACCTATCTAATCATAAGTATACTTATGATTTTTTGTTTTAACTGAATACTATTTATTGTATAATTTCCACTGCAACAAAGTTTTTTTTATCTTAATGACTTTGTTGCAGTGGAAATTGTACAATAAATAGTATAGTTTGTAGCACCTCTACTCATTCTGCTTTTATAGCTATAATACACAGAAAAAAATCTAACAAAGAATTTATTGCGTTAAATGTATACATAGTATACATACAATAGTAACGTTATTAAATAAGTCTAGAAGACCGGGATTGAATATTTATGATTACATATACATTTTTCAATATTTTTATTTTAAATATAAGTAAAATACCCTTTTTAATAAACATTTATTTTATAAGTAAAATAACATAACATTATTATGTTTAAAATCACAAAAGTTAAATATAAATAAAAAAATCAGTTTAAATTTTAATCTAACTTAATTTTTCATAACATTCATTGCTCATTGGACGTACATGATCTAAGCATGAATTTATTAGTAGACCAAATAATTTCTGTAATCTTAGTCGTATTTCCTTTGGTATACTCAGGGCCGTCTCTAAGGTTTTGGCCGCTCCGGGCAAACTTGAAACGGCCGCCCTCTCGAAATACACCGCCATAAAAAATACACTACAAATATTTGGAAACATTTAATAAAAAGTAAAAATAAAAATTATTCTAAACTTAAAAAAGTCAACATAACAAAAAAATATATTAAATATAAAAAATTTTGTCTATAAATAAAATATTTTATTTTACATATCGCTACCTTGGTTTAATATGGTTCTATCTGCCATTTTTTCAAAAATGAAATTTTTGCATAAAAAGGTTCAATGTACAATATAGAAATCTTTTTATGCAAAAATCACATTTTCGAGAAACCATGTTAAACCAAGGTATACCTATCGCTATAGCGATATATAACTACATAGGTACATAAGTAATAGCTAATATAGCTAACAACAAACTTACAAAAATTCTTTAATAATTAAGCAAAAGTAAAAAATACAAATTTAGAAAAAAACCTAACAACTTGTTTATAATATATACACTAGTGGAAAAAATTAAAGGATCAAAAATGTATTCCAAAGTTTTAGCGATTTTTCAAATGACTGCATTTTTGTTAAAAATGGCCGTATCGAAGTTTAAAAAAAATCAATTTGAAGCTTCAAGTCTCTAATTTTTGGGCCTTAAGACGAAGTATCGCGCAATCCTAATGAATATCGTGAAGAAAAATTTTAAATTATTTTTTGTTTTTTATTTTCTGTGTACGAACTTGCATTATTTTTTTTAACTAAACTACCATATACTTAGATCGGGTAGGTTGATTATCCAGCTTTAATTTGTTTTTTTTTTTTGTAGGCCTTGATACGACCATTTCTCGCTGAGCTATCGGGCTTTAAATAAAAAAGGATCATTTGAATTTGAATTTAAATTGAATTTTTTTGCAATTTTGTATAAAAATGTGAAAAAAGAGGAGATAATTTTTTTTCATTTTATTAGAGATTATGAGCGTTTGAGAGTAAAAAACGTGATTTCATATTTTCAAAAATTCAATCGAATGAAACAAAAAAAACGTCTGAACGGATCGAATTGAAACTTGCTAGTGTTTTTGTGGGTATATTGAAATATAAAAGGCATACTTAACATTAGAGGTTTTTTTAATAATCTCCATTCCGCGTGTGATTTTCTCATAAACCTCCAAACCCCATTTGTTCACAATTTTTCAAAATCATGTTACGAATGGAAAAAAAATTGTTTTGAAAAAATCATCAGCCGAACCTTGTAGGGCATTTATTCAAGTTTCTTAAACCGACCTCCAATTTTTTGTGCGACTATTGGTTTCTGAGATATCGATGATCAAAGGAAAAATGATCCATTTTCATTCAAAGCCCGATAGCTCAGCGAGAAATGGTCGTATCAAGGCCTACAAAAAAAATAAATTAAAGCTGGATAAGCAACCTATAGGTACGATATATCCAATCGATATGTTGGTTTAGTCCAAAAAAAAAAAATAATGCAAATCCGTACGCAAAAAAATAAAAAATGAATTTTTTTTTTTACGATATTGATTAGGATTGCGCGATACTTGTTGCTTGGAAAAATTTTTCGTCCTAAGGTCCAAAAACACGCGAGTGCGGCTTTATTTTAAGATCTAAGAAAGCCGCACTTCTATTTAAAAACTCATTATAAACATACAAAGAATTGTAGGCAAATAAATCATGTAGTGGCAATTTTTGTTTGATTTTTTTAATGACCGCAAAAAAAATAAAGGCCCAAAAAAATGGCTGCCCCTTAAACGGCCGCCCCCCAAAAAATGGCCGCCCCGGGCGGTCGCCCGGTTGCCCGGGTGCTTAAGACGTCCCTGGGTATACCCTTTTTCCGTATCACTCCTTTCTGATCTCTGTCCTACGCATTCATTCTCATTCTGTTCGTCATCATCATCACAACTATAATCTTCATCATCAGTTTGTACATTTTCAAAAAAAATTTAGCAGCTTTGCATGCTTTTGTTCGTAGTTCAAACAAAAAATAATACAATACACCAAAAAAATATTTTATTTGACAAATAACATTGTAGGGAGGTGAAAATATCACAGCTAAACGCTCGGACAAGTAAACTTAATTGTTGGTCGTAGATTCCAAATCCGTGCTTGGTTTAGCTGTATCAGGTCAAAATTCAAAGATAATGGAAACACCCTGTATAAATTTAAACACCCTGTATAAATTTTTTTTAAATTAAATTTCTCGGGACCCACACATCAGTTCCAAGTTAAAAAAAATTACAAATTCTTACAAAATTTGAAGTTAATTGATCAAAAGATACACGTGTCCCTAAGGGTTTTTCTAAGATAATTTAGGAAATTTGAAATGTTTTTTTGTTGATTTTTTTTTATTGAGTATAATTGAGGATATTATATTAAATGAAATAAAAAGCATAAAAGTGTTGGCACAAGAGGTGAATTATAGTAATTTACAAATTATATACAGTGTGTTCCCGGATCGGATTTCCAATAGGAAAAACTTTATTATGTTTACGTGTCCGAGCATTTAGCTGTGATATTTCAAAAGTTAAAAATTTACCTACAGTGTAATTTATAATGATAATATTTCTACTGAAAAACCGTATTTATATACTTAGGGCCGGTTTATCAATCTCTAGTTAAGTTCCAGTTAGTCTATCTGACGGTTAAATTTCATATCGATCGTTGTGAGAACAATGGTATCCATGGAAATAATCTACCAGATAACTAACTGCAACTTTAACTGGACATTGATAAACCGGACCTTAACCTAATCTAATATTAAACAAAACTTATTATTTTAAAATTTATTAAAAATTTAATAATAAACTGTTCTTCAATCTAATAAATGTTCAAAATGTTCACTTCCTGACACTTAAGTAATCAACTGGTAAAAATATGTAAGAAGAATCGCGCCCGGTTTACTACACCCTGTTGACCGTTAACTTTTTCTAATGCATATGATTGACTGCATAATGCGTAAGATATTAGTTGACAACACGTCTGGAAGTTATACGAATGAGGAAAGTCGAATTCCTTCTTTTCGCTTTTTAACGTGTGTTTTTAGATCAACCACACACCGTGCGCGAGTAATGGAAGGTTGAACAAATATTAGAAATAAAACAAAACACAAAGTGCAACTAATTAAGGGTAAGTCAGATCAAAACTTTCATCTTCCTCTTGGCTCCACTATTGTTGTAATACAACAGTTGTATTCCCCAGAAGTATTTTACCTTTTTTAATTATTAATTACAACCTAATTTTAAAATGTTTTTTAATTAGAGAAACATTATGTATACATTTTGTAAATAGAGCAACTACCAAAGTCTAAAAAAATTGCAAAAAAAGCAATTTTAATATATGCCGCTAATGACAGGCCATCAGGCGGCTGTCAATCAAATGATTTTAAGTAACTTTTTAAAAGCTTCCGTTAACCTTTAAAATACGTTATTATGAATTTAGTCGTAGATCTTCGTGGTCAGATCGCCTTTAACTTCATACAAAAGGTTTCAATGGGATCATTAACAATATAATAAGATTATAGATTTGCAAATGTCATCAATTTAATTATTATTTAAATACTGTATGTAAATTATTACAAATAATTATATTTTTATTTAAACCCATCAATATGGTTTTATATAAAATTATATTTGCATGGCAGGTAAAGTCAATTGCCATTTTCCTTACATTTTATTTAGAAAATAATATAATATTTTTTTAACTAATAATTATTTAAATTTGGATGATAAAAAAACTTAAGGTCTAAAAAAATACTTAAAAAACCATTTGTAAAAAACTACCTTTATTAAATTACACATTATTTTTTTCTACAGTTCTAGTTACTAAACACTTTTAAGTTTAAAAATTCTATGAAATGCTTTTCGATTAAATTCAAGGTTTAGTAGTTTTTTCTAATGTAGACATTCTCTAAATTTTAAAAAGAGACCACTAAAAAAAAGTTATATTTATCACAACCTATGTTATGAGGCGCCGTTTGTGTCAAAACTAAAAGTGCAAAATAAACTTATTTTGCTTTATAAATAATTAATTATATCCGTTATTTACCAAATTTTTTTTTCTACTATCTTACTGGAAAACTTAATTTTCCAACCCCGAGCGAGGGAGGAAAATGCCTCTTTTCCTTCCCGGGAGGAAAAAAAATTCCTCCCTCTTTTTTCTAACAATTTTACATTAGCAAGAGTTTTTGTACCTTGTCTAGCCCTATTTGATTTTGTAGGAAAAAGATTTGTTTGTCCAATCATTCTTTGAACAATCTATATTTATTTTCATATCGCTCTTTCGATTTTTAGGAAGGAAATTAATTGCTATTCTTGCCTCTTCAGCAAGATCTTGAGGCAGGTCTTCTTCGCTAGAACTCATTTTCAAAACGTAGGAAGAATTTCAAATTTATGATAAACATTCTGACAGGTTATAACAACTGTTATGTTTGTATTAAAAAAATACCATAGCAGCAAAGCGTTGTCAACATAAGGTCGGCGACGCAACACCTACTTAATATTTTGTCATAATTTTATAATCCCATACCGGGTTAGTAAAAGGAACCGGAACGCTTAAAATGTCTTAAAACCTTTAAAAGGTAATAGAAAAAACTATGTACATACCTCAGGAGGAAAATGCTTTTCCCGCCCTTGAATATTTAATGCCCTTCGCTTCGCGTCGGGCATCAAACAATTCGCGGGAGGAAAAGCACTACTTTCCTCCCATGGTATGTAAATAGCTATTTTAATCAACTTATTTTTATGAAATTATTTTGTATGGATGACCTTGTTTTTCCTTTTTTGAGGGGAAATTTATTCAGTTCATAAGTGGGGGATTTAAAATATATAATACCATAGACATATTAATATGTCCATGTATGATGAACTAAATTAAATTTAGGTTATATCAAATTTTATAATATTCATATTATTTAAAAGCCATTGAAAATCTCGCAAAGACAATGAAAAAAACAATGCCAAAACAACTGGTATACTACAGAAAACAAACAAAATGGTTAATTCATAAAACCATCTACATATTATGTCTATAATACAAATCTTTTGACTATGGTGGTCAAATTACAACGTTGCCAATTCTTGCTGTTATAAACATGCTTATATAAAATCCAAAATCATCATTTTATTTTTTTCCCTCAAAAAAGGAAACAATTACATATACAGGGTGTTAAGTAATTAATGTTATATATTAAAATGGGTTGTTCCTTAGGGTCCATAAAGAAGCACCTAAAACTTTTTTTTCTAAATTCCAAAGTCTAAAAATAGTTTATAATAACCTTTATCCTACCAAAAAGTACGCCACTGATCGACTAGGAACTTTAGGTTAATCTGGTGGATTTATTATGTTATGGTTGGTAACCAGTGTTTCCAAAATCTCTCAAAAAAGTTGACAAACATTGTTTAAATTTAGCTTAATTACAAAAATGACAAAATTAACAATGCAAATTGTCAATTTGGCGTTTTTATTAATTGTTGGTTATTTCATTTTTGTACTGAAGGTAAATTCAAACAAAATCTGCCAACTTTTATGACAGAATCTAGTGCATTTCTTTTAAATTTTAGGTTATGTTTTCAAATTGTAAATATCTTAACCATTGAGTAAATGTCTTAACTAAGGGAAGTGCTTTTGGATTTATTTACACAAATTAAATGTTTAAAGTTTAACCTGTGAACTGGTCCCAATTTCATCTAAGTAAACAGAGAAAAAAACTGATGAAAAAATTAATTTTGTGGTTATGGATTTCAAATTTCAAAGGTACTAAATTTTCTAATCATTGCTTAAGCTAATAGCTGGATCAGTAAATAAATACAGAAGGGTATTAGAGCTTTAAGGGCATAAAACTTTTGTATTTATTGAGTTTTTATTTATTTTTTGCAAGAAAAATTTTTAGTAACAATTTTTTACATCTGGCAACGCATAGCTACTTTGTTGGTTGGTATCTATGTACTCACAAAATACAGGTGTGCAGAGATAAACAAGTGTGTAACCAGTGGCGTATCACAAAAAATATAAAAAAACTTCTAATGCATATTTTTTCTTTATCTTTGGAAAAATGTTTTTTTAAATATTTTTCCTTTATTCCTTATGTCAAAAGGTATTCAGTATTTTAATATATAACATTAATTACATAACACCCTGTATACAAAATAATTTCATAAAAAAAATAATTTGATAATAAAATAAGTTAATAAAAAAATTATTTCATAAAACAATAAGATGATAAAAAAATAATTTCATAAAAAAATAATTTGATAAAAAAATAATTTAATAAAAAAATAATTTGATAAAAAAATAATTTCATAAAAAAATAAGTTGATAAAAAAATAATTTCATAACAAAATAATTTGATAAAAAAATAAGTAGATAAAAAATAATTTTATAAAGAAATAATTTGATAAAAAATTAATTTGGTAAATAATGCATATAATTAATTATTTATAAAGCAAAATAAGTTTATTTTCCACTTTTAATTTTGACACAAACGGCGCCTGATACTATGTAATTAATTTTTTATAGAAAGTCCACTACAGCAACAAAAAATTCGCTTATTTGCATACATTTTTTAACCAACACTTTTAGTACCTACATTATACTTTACATTAAAGGACTTAATTAAGATAAATTAATGTGTCCCGTGTGCATCATAATCTTTCAGCAGATAAGAATTAAATGAGCATAGACCTTGCGGTTAACAACACTTTCTTAAACACTACCGACAACACTTTTCTCTCCATATCAGCTCGCCGGCAAAACCACGCGGCAGCAGGACCGCGTGTACCCGACGCAGGCGCATTGGCGCAGCAGGAACTCATTGGACAACCGAATATCTATATAGGTAGTATCGCCGTCTCAATGAAAGCCGGTTTTAAACATCAGTGTATTTTTGAAAGCCGGTAAGCGCGAATCGAGCAACCGGAACTGAAATAAAAAATATAAATTTGAGACAGTAGGATTTTTTCAACAAAGCAGGAACATATTTGAAAAAAAATTGTGTGTTTGGTATATTTGACTAGACGTTCCCATGTGTTTAATTGTGAAATATCGTTATTAGAAATTCTCATCAAAAACACTTTAAGGAAGCTAATAATAAAATACCTTTGATAGTTGCGAAGATTTCTCAACAAGAAAAATATTAACGATGAGATACAAAGATGTCTGAATCGCCTATATTTACTTAGCTTTCAACAAAATGATATCCCGACTGGAGTTAAAAACAAATTTAGTAAGTTTGAACTTCTTTTATTTATTGGCTAATATTTATTTATTATTTTTTACACCTACCACCAAAGTTAAATGCATCTTGCTTTATAAATAAGAATTTAATTGTGGTTACTCTATCATAAATTGATTACGACTTAATTATAATTAAGAACCATAACCTACATTAACGAATAATTAATTTTCTTTAAAACAATTATTTATTGCTATATATGTTAGCATTGTATGATAATTATAATATATTATAAATATTATTAGATTGTCTTAGTTAAATATAATTTGTGTTATTTTGTCACGCAAATATTATACATGCTTATAAAAAGATGCCTTATTTGTTATTTTCAATGACACAAATTAAGTAAAACATTATAATTTTGCTGTAATATTCCAATAATTTATAGTGTTAATGTGTAATATGAGTAGGTTCTTAAGTGAATAAACATTATATTTTTCTTAAACTTGTACTTTTGTATTGCATTGTATTACTTACTAATACAAGGACGAAATAATATGTTTAAGTATGCTTATATATATTTTGTAATTTCTGATTTATTTATCTTTATGTACTAACCAATTGTTGATACAAAATATTTAAATTTTTATCTTTTTTGTTTTATCAAAAAAGTCTGAAACAATAACTTACCACTGACCTACATTTAGTTTTTAAATGCATAGATATATATGACAAAAACATATAATTTTTGTTTCGTAAATCGCAGAAATTCGATAAAGTTGTATTAGTACTTGAAGCCAACAATGCTTAATTAAATACTACTGAACAATAAATTGAAAGTCCACCCCTATAAAATTATGATTGTTCAGAAGCTCCTCCCAACAGACCATCAACAAAGTCTTCACTTTAGCCAGCGCATGTTCGAGGTTTTTTTGAAGAAGACATCATGATGACTGACAAAGCTAATTTCCACTTAGACTAATATTATATTAGCTATAATAGCGCACGCTGTGCTTGAACAAAGTTTAAGTCACATAAAAATGCCGGACCCTTTGGTGACTTAAAAATGATATTTTTTCGAAATGTTTTGTAAATTCATGATTTTTTTTTAATTTTTGTTTATTTCAAAGTACACCGATCTTTATAATATTGGAGTATATTGTCAACGAGACTTGGAGAATACTGTTTTCATATTGAGCACATCATTAGATTTATACAGGGTTAGCCAAAAATCACTTTTTTATATAGTAAAAAGCATAATGCACAAAAAAGATTTATCTCCAAAAAATGTTATTTTATTTAACTTTAATTAAAATCAATTTATCTTATTAAGTCTTAATAAGAATCCCATTTTGTAGCCTGATAAACATAAAAATAAATATCTAAAAAAACATGGGTTGGTATATATCTTTTTTGCGTGTTATGACAAAATCATGAATTTACGCTTTTGCTTTATTAAAAGAAGCGGTTTTTGGCTAACCCTGTATATATTAAATGATGTGCACAATATAAAAAAGTATTCTCCAAATCTCTTTAACAATATACTCCAAAATTATAAAAATCGGTGTACAAATGTGTACTCTGTCAAAGGTAGACTTTAAGATAAACAAAAATTTTTTAAAAATCAAGAATTTTCAAAAAATTTCGAAAAGAGGGGCAGCCAGGATTTTGGTAAATATCATTTTTAAGTCACCAAATGGTCCCGAACAAGAAACTGCAATTAGTTTTTGGCGGCATTTTTATGTGACTTAAACTTCGTTCAGGCACACCGTGAGCGGTTCCACTTTTTTCAATAAATTTCAAATTTATCAGATCCAAATGCGCCACCCTGTATAATTAAAATTATTTTAAAAACGTAATAATAAAAGAGTAGATTATGTTTTAAAAATCCTTAATGATAATTTATCAGTAAAACCTAAGAGTTCGGGAATCCTTACTAAACAGACCAACGCTTACTCTTAAAATGCCAAATCTGTTTTCAATTTACTTAATTTTCTGGTAATAATTTCCAAACATGAGAACTTCAGTTCTTTCCGTGTAGAGATAAAATTAATTATTTTGGCAGTAACATATCTTTAAACCCAAACTAAAAATTTCGACCAATTCTACACTGTGTAGACTACACATTCTGTATTTTAAATCTTTCTTTTGAACGTGTTTGGAATTAATTTTGATTATTTAACATTACCCTTTGGGTAAAAAAGAAAAAGCGATACTTTATATATTAAACTTAAACACATACAATTTAATACCCTACACATTTATTTTTATTAATTGTCTTGAAAATTTATTTTTAGGAACTTTTTTTATAATAACCATTGATTGATAAGTCACTCAAAGTAATAACATTATTGCATTAATTTAATAAAATTTTACATCAAATTAAAATAACGGGAAATATTAGATTTAATTTGGTAAATATGTATAAAATTAAGTCCTAAAAATCAAGTTAGCTTTCGAAAATAAACCAGTTTCGTCATTAAGCTCTTAACAAAAGCTTATTGAGTAGGCAATAATATCATTAGCTTCCATAATTACTATAGAATATCGTTCAGAAGCTTTTACTCTATTTTTTACATCACTAAAAGCTTCAAAGAGATTATTGTTATCTTTAAATCAGTTTAAATAAAACACGTAAAACTATTATTAAAATTATCTACTTTTATCAATATAGGTAGTAAAGTCATCGCTTGCTTTATTACCGAAATGCAAATATTTTGTGTTCATTTGTTTTTCGAACCATTAGGCAAATCCTATTTACATTCGATAGTAGATAATTTTGGAAATTTTTTGTCAATGACTGATGAGGAGTGTTTTTGCGATATTAACCTATTTAATAAACCAGGTTAATTAGGTATAAAATAACAATATGAACAGTCTAATATAAACAATTTTTATGTGAATAACCATACAAAGCAAAGATTATTTATCTATCTAGTGTTTTTAATTTTGTTTTCGGAAACAGATCATCATAGGAAATTGTAAAGTAATACTTAACGCCTCTGGTGGAAAGAAGTAGAACAAATAGATATTTGTTTTAAAAAGATTTTAAGAAATATGTGGTTTCAATTTTAAACACCCTATATCTACAAAAATCATCTAGAGATTGAGCCCATTTAGTATTGGCATCTAATTTATTTATCAATTCATACTTCAAATGCTATTTTCTCTAAATATATAATATCAGAAGAAATTAATTACAAATTTGTAGAGATTAGTCACTTTGGAATTTACCACCTACTACGCAATACCCGCAAAATAATCCTAATATGTATATTTATTGTTCTTAAACAACCTGATAAACTAATAGTTATTACTAGAAGTAATTACTTCTTAAGACTTTTTGTGCTGAGCTCAAAGTTTGAAGTCCGACACGTCAGCAACATTTTTATTTTGACTATTCCACTTATTACTTTATGGACCAATCAGATTTCAGAAAACGAGTGTTTTTTCAGTTTTGCAGCGATAAAACTACTATTTAGGTTAAAAAAACACTCGTTTAAATAAGTTGCATAGCAACCAATTGGGTGCCATGCGAAAAATAATTGTCAATGTTGACGTTTCTAATTTTAAAATAAAAATGTCAAAAAATATGCGTTTTGGTGAAAAAAATCATACAGAAATTGAAGTTAATTCTAATTAAAAAAAAATCGTGAAATGGTCTTGCCGAATACCACTCGTAATATTTTTTTTTGTATTTATTTACCTACTCAAGATTTTTTCTTGTAAATTTTGCTCCTAATGCACAAACAGCTATTACAAAATATGATTAATACATTTTATAAAATACATTATCACAAAAATTTATTTTCAACTAGTTTTAACTTTTGGACCACTGTTCTTACTTTTACCGATTCAATAATAATAAAATTATAAATTGAGGTTAGATACAGTGTGGCCCATTTGTTTGCGACTCACCCCTGTAAAATCTTCATTTATTGTGCGTTTTTAACCGGATTTGTGTGTTTTAAGAATTCATATTAGCGATTTCTTAATCCACCATTTATTTTAACACAGTTTCATATTTGTTCTGGGGTAATATCTGCGCCGGCTGTATTACCCTATAGAGTAGTATATAGAATAGGCTGGTGGATTTTGGGCACACCCATATCTCAGTTATTAGACATGGGACCCACATCAAATTTATATTAGTTTATAATGACATTATATAGACAAGTTCTGCGCAAGCAGAATTTAAATTGAAGTTTGCGAAAAAAAGTTAGTTTTTAAGTGTGCCCCCCAGTGTCAGATAATTCAAATTAAAGTGGTACAATATTTAATTCACTGAAGTTTATTGACAAATTTCAAATTTTATTAAAAAAATTCAAGTATTACAGATTTTATACCATTTCTATTTTTTTTAATTTAGTAAAAGAAATAATAAAAATTTAAAATGGTATAAAACCTGTTTTTTTAATAAAATTTGAAATTTTTCGATAAACTTCAGTGAATTAAATATTGAACCACTTTAATTTGAATTATCTTAATTTGGGGGGGCAGGAGGCTGGGAGGGCACTTAAAAACTAACTTTTTTTTCGCAAACTTCAATTTAAATTCTGCTTTCACAGAACTTGTCTATATAATGTCATTATAAACTAATATAAATTTGATGTGGGTCCCATGTCTAATAACTGAGATATGGGTGTGCCCAAAATCCACCAGCCGCCAAAAATTCTCTACAATTAGATTTTTGTCACCTCTACTGCACAAGAACTGTTCTTG